CATGCGTCAATGGTCGTGAATTGACAGCATGTTCCGCCTCGGCCAGTAGAGTGTGCAGGACTTCCTCCTTCGGTGCTCGTTCCTTTAATGTTGCGTTGAGCGCGGTTTTCACGGAGCGAACCATGCGCTCCCAGGCTCCGCCTTGGTTAGGTGCTCCCGGCACGATGAATTTCCATGTGGCATCGTAGTTCATCGCCTCTCTCTTCAGCTCGGGAAGCCACTCGGTGTACGCCTTCTTGAGCTCGGTGTCAGCCCCTCGGAAGTTAGTGCCGTTGTCACTATATATTACGGCTGGCCATCCTCGTCGTGCTGCCATTCTTCGTAGTGCCGCTTCAAGTTCCAGGCGCGGTACGGTTTGGGTCTTCAAGGGCGAGACCTTAGCTCTTGCCGCTATCAGAACTGTCTCGATGACATGGCCGGGTCCGTAGTGCAACCTCCAATACGCCGCCGTTGCGTAGGCTTCTTCGCTGGCGTCGCAAAATACATGAAGTTCACGGCGACGCACTTCTCTCCCCCCGTTGTAACTACGGGGTAGCCGTAGTTGGTCGATTGCTGGCAGGCTTGTCAACCATGCATCGAAGTCCTCGCTCAAGTCGGATGGTAGAGGGTCGTCCCAGCCGGTCTTGAGGCGCCATAGTTTTTGAAGAGTTATCTTCGCTGTGATTGTGAAGCAGCTGAGCAGTCCGAGCGGATCGTATATGCTCATCACCGTCGATAATGCTTCTCTTTTCGTCGGCGGGCGTTGTCGAGACTTCACTGGCAGTGGGACTCTAGGCAGGGCGGTATTGAAGCCCAGCCGATCGGTACTCGCATCCCAAAGCAGGCCCAATGTCTTCTCTGCGTCTCCAAACGTCGTAGTCCCGCTTTTGGCTCTACTATCCGGGCTCACGGCTTGTAGAAGCTTCCTGTTGTTGCTGTTCCATCCCCTCAGGTGGAATCCAGCCTTCTGGTGCACTGCGTCGACTTGGGTGATGACTTCGTGGGCCTCTCTCGGATCATTGAAGCTGTCGACGAAGTCATCCATGTAGTGCGCTTCGGTGATTGCGCGCAGTGCTGCAGGGTGCGTCTCAGCATGCTGTCTCGCGTTGTGGTCCCTCACGCTGTGTGCGAGGAACGGTGAGCTCGATGCGCCGAAGATCATCGATGTCATCTTCAGCTTGCGCGGTGGTTCATTCTGCCTGCAGTCGCGCCACAGGAACATCTGTGCGGGTTGGTCCTCGCGGCGTATCTTGATTCGCAGGAACATTTCCTCGATGTCAGCTGTCACTGCGTATGCGCCCTCTCGGAACCGGAATAGAATGGTCTGCAGCGATCGTAGCAGATCCGGCCCTTCGAGTAGGTGATCGTTCAGGCTGACAACTCGAATTCTTGCTGCCGCGTCGAAAACCAGTCGCAACTTCCCGGGCTTATTGGGATTCTTGACGGCGAAATGCGGCAGGTACCATGCGACGGGGCTTGCGTCCTCGGAGCCGTCGCAGGGTTCGGCGTATCCTTTTTCTAGTAGGTTGTCGATCCTCCGCTGGTATTCTTCCCTGTCGCGTGGATCTTTTCTCAACTTGTTCTCTAGATTGGTGAGCCGGCGGAGTGCTGAGTCGTAACTCCGTGGCAGTTTGGCGTCGTCGTTTCGCCAAGGCAGGCCCACTTCGTATCTGCCGTCCTTGTGCTTCACGGTGCGTTCGAACGTGGAGACGGCATGCTTGTCCTCTTCGCGGACGTGTGATGCGTCGAGCGACACTCCGAGTGAGTCGATCCGGAAGTGTCTCGACACGAGTTCTTCGAGTCGGTCGTCTGATGCTTCGGTCGTGACGACATGTAGGATATCCTCGGTGCGGCGAAGCGATCTCGATGGCGCCGTCCCGTGGATTACCCATCCGAGTTCGGTTTTGCAGGCAGCTGGTTCCTTAGTTTTTCCTGACCGTAGCTCACGGGTCACTATGAGCTCCCAGTTGTCCGTCCCGATCAAAATGCGAGGCTTCGCATTCTTATATACAACTTCTCGCTCGTCGAGATCTCTTAGGTGTCGTAGCTTCATCGCCTCCGCCGGTATCGATTGCGGCGTGAGGTCCAGGCCCCCCATGGTGCGAGCGTTGATTTTGAAGATCTGGTCACTGCGCGCTCCTTTTATTCCAATCTTCACTCGACGGCTCTGCACGTGACTTTGCTTCTTGTTTATTCCTCGGACGTTGAGCTGTGCGGTCGGTCCGTCGGCGCCGATCTGTCGCTCCAGGTCGTCGTCTAATAAGGTGACCGTCGAGCCTTCGTCGAAGAGCGCGTAGGTGTCGCAGCTCCCACGTTTGCCTGTGATTGTCACGGGGCAAATCTTCAATTTGACGGCGCGGCTTGTCGTCGTGGCAGCCGTCGTCGTTTCGGTGGTGGCTGGTTCCATCGCATCCGTGTTTGAGTCGGTCGCGCTCGTAGCCACGTCGTTCGTCGTTCCACGCTCGTCTGCGTGCAACAGTCTGTGATGCGGTCGCTTGCATCCGTTGATTCCGCAGAGTTTCTGTCGGCAGTTCAATCGACGGTGTCGGCCCACGATGCATTTGAAGCAAAGGCCCTCCTTCTTCACCAGCTCCCATCGGTCATCATACGTTAGCTGCTTGAACTTTGGGCAGCTAGGTAGTGTGTGGGCTTCCTGGCATGAAAGGCATCTGTGCTGCGGTGCTTCTTCGGTGGCGACGTACACCGTCTTCTTCTTTGCCTCCGGTCTGGGGGCGGGGCGAGGCGTTTCTCGTGTTCGTTGCGATGTGGAGGGTGCGGTGAGGTTCAATACATAGTTGTATCGCATGCAGCGGTCAGCTTCCTTCATCAGGAACGATGAAAGTTTTAGTAGATCGGCGTTCGGGCCCGGCTGTGACTCGGCGAAGTTGCACCAACTCGATACAAGGTAGCTCGGCATCTTGTCCAAGACTTCCCGGGTCAGCAGTGGGTTAAGTAGGTACTCTGGCTGCACGTTCCTCAGGACGGTCACGACGTTCTGTAGCTTCACCGCAAACATGTTAAGATCGTTCGCGGTAGGTCCAATCTTCGGCAGCTTCCGTAGATCGGCGAAAGCCATGTCCACTAGTCTTTCTGGCCTTCTGTAGCATTGCTCCAGTGTTCGCATGATCTCGTCGGGGTGCGTCGCGGTGCTCAACAATGATGCGACGTTTTCCCGAGCTTCTCCACGTAGGCAGTTTCTCAGTCTTGCCATATTCTCTGTAGGTGTGAATTCGTACAGCCGCGTTGTTTCTCGCATCGCAGTCGCGAACTGTAGCCATTCCAGCGGTGAACCAGAGAATATCGGTAGATCCGATGCTTGACGCGGCGGCGGTCGTGACTTCACGAGGGTTTCGAGGACAGAGGCGAGTTGATCGATGCCTCTGCCTCGCGATGACGACCGTCTTCGTTCTTCCCTATCTGGGCGTCGCGTGTCGCGTTCAGGTGGCGGTTCAGCCACGGCGGTCCTTGAGAGCTCCCCCCGTTGTTGGTCGACGTTCGCGTCGTCGAGCCACTCGAACACTCGATCTTGCAATTTATTTGCCGGTTCTTCAGCTTCGGGTTCGCTCTCTGCTCCGTCTAGCGTTTCTAACTCGATATTGAGCGTCTTTTTTATGAGGTCCGCTTCAATTTCGAGTTCTCGCCGTCTTATGGCAGCCAGTCGTTCTTCTGCTTCGTTGCGTAGCTTCCGGCGTGCCGCGTTGCTCGCTGCCGAGCGGGTCGAACGCGCGACGTGCACTCTCCTCGCCGGTTGCACCGATGACGTCATCGCAGATGTCGTTATTCCAGTAGTCGCCGCTGTGTCCGTTGGGTGTGCTGCGCGTTCGTCCGCTCCGCTCGGCGGCTGCGTAGTCACTGCCAAGGCGACGCGTGCTCCGGCAACGTCTGCCCCAGCGCGGTTCGCGTTAGGCGCTAGTTGCGAGACTTGCGGTGCGGTGCGTAGGCTCTCCCCGGCGTTACCCGTCTCGAGGCGTCCTCGTACGGTCGGTGTACTTGAGGGCGATCTCGGCGGCTGGTCGAAGACACGACGTTGGTTTTCTTCGTCTTGGCTTCTTGTAAGCACCATCTTGAATCGCTGTTGCTGGATCTCGAAGGTTCTATACGTGTTTAGATCCGGCTTCTCGAAGGACCAAACTGTTGAGGGTGCTGATCCGGCTCTATGGACCAAACTGTAGACGATGCTGTATAACTGTTGATGATGGTGCAAAACAAAGACGGATTTCTTCTATAGACGATTTATTGTATTTTCTTCTTACTGGCTACTTATTACTGCTTAACTATACTGCTTGACTGACTTGACTTGACTACGAATATGTACAAATTAGGCCCTACCCTTATTCTAAACTTACTATCTAACTTAGATACTAATGACGCGCGGCGGCCGACCAATCACAGCGCGTTTTACGCCCGCGCGCCGGGTGGGGGAATCGCCCCCACCGTGCGGACGGCGCCTACGCAGCCAATGGGCTCCCCGATAATTCCGCTAATGTAGGCGCTGTGATTGGTCGTTCGATCTGTACATTTTTCGGCACGTGGCTGTCTTCAACAGGCATTATCATATTTTGTTTGTTGCATTATTATTTGGAAAAAATGAATAAATATATAATTCATTAAAGTCGCGTTTAATTTTACAAAACAATAAATTGATGACATGACGTAGGTATGAAAAAAAAATTTAGTCGACTTCTGGTATATATATTAAAAATAAAACATTAAAAAATTGTATTATAGTTCCCAGATGCTTATCATACCAGGGAAAACTATATCATAAAGATTGATTGACCATGCATTTCTGACAATACCCTACATGTTTAAGCTATTATCTCTCTCTGGGGGTCTTGAGTGCACTTACTTATATATTTGTACTGTGATAAAAGGGTCAGCGCTTTAGATTGTTAGAAAGAAATAATACTCATATAATATTCAACAGATTTTGTGAATAGTATTTGAGAATTGTTATCATTAGTGTGACTTTATTCTACTCGTAATTTATTATTTAACACACAAATTATTTTCTATTGCAGTTGTTAAATGATGAAACAGCAATGTCAGAAATAGTAGAACATGCCCCGTCTTTGGCAGATGACTGTGTCACTTTGTCTCTTTTACATGAAGTAGAGTTGCTAGCTGCTCTTGGGGCGAATGTGCAAACTATGCGTCGTGGAGCTAATGCTCACCCAGATCTTCCTAATGCACTGAGACACTTGTTGCGGCTTGTACGCTCTAGTTCTAATACATCTACTGTTACTGACAATGGTAATAAATACTATTTTTTATCATTAACCATTTAATATACTTATCACTTGTATGAAATTAAATTATAAATTTCAATCAACACAGGATGACAAAGTAAGTTACTTATAGATTTTATTTTTAAATTATTGACTAAATCTTCTGTTACCGATCCATGTATTTGTAAGAAAATTTTGTGGTGTAATAAATAAATATTAATATGACTTAATAGGTCTAATGACCTAGGTAGGTTTTATAAATCAGTGTGTTTGGGTCTGTGCTTTCCATAACTCACTCTTGGTGGGAGTAAAGGCAAGCATCCTGAAAGTGAAGAGAATATGTAAAATATCACATATTTGATGTTTTTAATATTTATTTTTCACAGCCCCAACATCTGGATTTGCTTATTCTCTTGAAGCTCTTTCTGAGGACGAGGATGCCGATGACGAAGATAATGATGAAGGAGAGAGGAATCCCATTACTCAAGAACAGCTAACTGCTGCATTGCAAGTTCGTATGCAAATTTATATTAAAAGGAATATGTATATATACTTCATTCCTTTCTTAAAGTATTTAAACCTGCATTTTTCTCATGTGCATATTACAAATTTTGAAATTGCGATTCCTGTTATTTATCATATGCTTTACAAGGACTCTAAGTATCATACAAAATTAAAGATCGCAAGTTTTTAAAATACATCCTTTTTTATAATAGGGAATATGCACATTTTTGGAAAATGGTTTTATATGATAATTAACATCGATATAGAACTGTAAAAAAATAACCAGCATCGAAAAACTAAAATTTTCACATTGATGAAAATAAGTAATAGCTACGAGCAGATTAAAAACACTTAGGAATTTTTGGCGCTCTTGTCGTGACGTCAAAGTACACGACTAGAGATATGACATTTTAAATCAATATGGATTTTGAGTGATTGATTATTATTCAATTACCCAAATCGATTAACAACTAATCGATTTTTTAAAGTATAATAGGCTTTTTTAATAAATCATATAATTTACCAAATTGGTGAAATAAAAATAAAAGCCTAAAACATAATTTAAATTGTAATCTATTGTTTATTTTGCGACTTAATACTTTGATGTTATTGCATATATGTTAACATTTGTATCAACGACATCCCTATACGTGTACATTTTCGTCACACCCGCTCTGACAAGTAGCATGGCGTTTAAATATTTTGAAGTGACCGCATTTATTTTGCACTTTTTAATAATTATTTTGAAGACGAAAACGAACAAATTTTGAAAAACATTTAGATATACTTTATTCTAAAGCAATAACGATTGTATTAAATATATTTAACCCTTTTTTAATCAAACGCATATTCCCTACTGTGTCTAGATTCAAAGTATTTCAGAAGACGCTTGCAAGACATCACTGTCTTTTAATTGGTTTTGTACAAAGAAATCAAGATTCACCAGATCACACAACTTTCTTTCAGGAGACTGTTTTAAATTAATGATTATGGATACTCATTCTCGAAAGATTTGTTATTTTATTTATTTATGTTGTGTAAACGGTGACTTGGAGAATGTAAGGTCACTGTACTTTAGTTTAAGTATGTAAGATATTTTGGATGACACCAAGTTATTTGATAAACATCTCAGGCGGCGACGGAAGGTGTTTCAGCGTCGAGCAGTCGCGGTGGTGGCGGTCGCGACAGTCTGCTGAGACTACTGCAGGCTGCCGACCACGCCACTGAGTCCGGCGCGCCCGCCGGTAACCAAAGTACTAAACATTTTTATTTTCTATTTTTTAAGAAATACGGTTGTAGGCAGTAAACGAAAATAAATACATATAATTTTCTGATAGTGTTTAATATACTATTACCGATAATTACACTTTTATGATTATTACATTTACAATATTGCTTAAATTCATTATGAAAAACAAATATTTTATGCTCGTTGTCACGTGACCCCAAACAGCGCGTGACTTCACGCCCTTATTATATTAGAACGCCTATATTAGAACCTAGAAAATTAAATGCATATATAGAACGATATAGTTTCAGAGGGCCGTAACGTCATAGCGACGCCATAATAGAAGTGGCGTTTTCGCGGGAAATTTTGTAAATTAAATTTATGATTGCATTTTTACTATTTATATGCATGATATTTTTTTACTTGAATTTCATGTATATTTATATTTTTAGATATATTTCGAAATAAAAAAAAGTCTTCATCTATATTATTATTTGAATAATCCAAAAATACTATACTTATAACAGGGTTGGCCAACCGATCGATCGTGGCTATTAGTCGTTCATCATATTGTATATATATATATATGTGAGTCAGTGTATTCGTATTTAAAACAAACTGTAAACATTGTTCGCTCTTAACAGATACTTGTATTCTTTAAGAATACGTTTATACGTTTGTATTCTATAAGAGTGGCCATTTAGAAGATTCGTAGGTGTAATTCTCACATTTATCATATTAATATGAGCTAATAATATTAGTGTATAATTCTAAAGTGAGGTAGTCTGGAAGAAATTGCTCTTTAACGATAAGACCTCTGATTGTAACAATAAATTATATCACCATCTCATTAAGATTAATTATGGTGTACAATACAGGATGGGGTTGAGGACTAATTTTTGTTTGTTTGACCGTCAAGTAGATTATCGAAGAATATTAAATACTTATTTTTTGCGTAATCCATACATATATTAAGTTGAAATGTCGTATGACGTCACGCCTTTGTACATATTCTACATAGTTGTGACGTGACAAGCCCTCACGCCTCAACTTTAGTCCACCTTAAATAAATAGTATATAAGTACTACCTATTTGTTTATGACGGATTAAAGTACATTTGTCAAGAATTAAACATTATTATTTTATTTAAAAATTTAAAAAAAATACATGAATTGGTAGATTTCACAGAGATTCATCATTAAAAACTCCTAAGATCGAGTTTTTGAATAAAGTTCGCCACCACGGGTATAGCACAATAATGCATTTAGCAAACATTATCAGCCTGTGGTGCTGTTAGTGTTCCCGCTGCCGGGAATCTGCTCGGTTCCAGTCCGAATCGGTGCTAACTGCGAGTTAACGTTTTGCAGATAATTATAATTTATCATTAGTACATTATTATTCGGAGATAATTAGTATGTATCACTCGGCAACCGGTTTTTTTTTATTTATGATATTGTAATGGAAAGTGACTTCATAGTCTAATGAAGTCACTTCCTAATAAGACCAATTAGAGGAGAAAAAACAACCCTTGTTTATTTTCTTTCCGGTTCTTCTCAGTATGCCGTAGATTTGCGAACCGATGGCATAGCTTTCGACATTCACAAGTGCTTGTTACAGACTAGACTGGATAAATGATATTGATTATTGAATTAAGTTCTTATTTCTTTCTGCTTGACTTGATCATTTTTACACAGGAGCAGGGCGTTCAGTTATAACTTCAGAGATGTTAAGCGAAGCAATGTCTGAAGCTATAAATAGAGCCAGCAACTCGATGGCACGAACACCCATGGACCAAAGTACTGCAGGTGATTATTTATTATTATTATTAAAAAATCTAGATAAAATATCACCAATTTTGTTTTCGAAACTTTTGCTGTCCACAAATAACTGTTTAATTAAAATAATAAAACTCAATTTCTATAACAATTGAAGAGCTGCGATAGGTAGTGTGATCGGAAATTAATCATTTGACACTTAAAATCTTTCGGAAAGATTTTTATACACCATAAGAATAAAATAAATTCTGATCAATCTCAATATTGAGTATCCTTCTATGCTCGCGTATTAGCGACGTAGTCTTCCTTTTACTATATTATTACCATTATATATGAAAAAAAACTGTTGTCCCGCGACTTCGTTCGCGTATGTAGCTTCCCGTACATGAAATATTTTTCATTGCATTGAATTCACTGACACGGGGGTCGTGAAGTCTGCCCGCGTAGCATGATTAAAAACCTAAACCTATTGTTTTATATTTCAATATCGGTCTCGCTTTAACTCGTTTCTCGAGTCGAATCGATTTGCAGTGAATTTATCTCTTCTGGACAAGGTCTAAAGTGAAAAGGTGCTTATGATAGGCACGTATACGCAGTATTTGCGGTCTGGTAAATTTTTGTCGTGTGAATGTTGCCTTGTGTTTTGTTTTTATATATATTTTTGTAATAAAGGCTACATTTAAATTAGGTACCTATATGTTATGGTGATGATCAAACTCTATTTTTCGTTTAATTACAGCATCATCATCTCAAAGTCCAGTAGCGAGAGATGAAGATTTTGTCTCACAATTGCAGCGCATGCACGAAATGGGTCTTCTAGACGATGCCCTCAATGTTCGGGCTTTGCTTATATGCTCAGGTAAACCGGTTGAAAGTTAAAATAATCAAATCAAATAAAAGATTATAACAAACATTCGTTTCTCATCTGTCAATTTAATTTTCTGTTTGTTACAGGTGATGTAAACGCAGCGATTAATTTGGTGTTTAGCGTAATTACGTAATTACGAATTTATTACGTAATTCTCATTAATTATACTCAAAACCCTCACTACAAATTAATGCATACGTAAGTTGCAAGCCGGATAGGACAATACTACGATTTTTCGGCAACGTATATTTGATTAAATTTATCTATAAATATGACGCATTCTTTAACAAGGTGATCCAAAGCCCGTTGATGTTTTCGTTTACGCGATATGTTTGTAATATCGCTTTGAACATCTAAAAAGGTTTTGTTTGTCAAATACCTATATGTATCAAACAACTTTGTTTGCTTGTGTTCGTCAGAAAGGCCAAGAAGTTGGGAGGGCATTACCTGTGTTAGCTGTTGCAATTATGATTGTACGTCAGATTCTCCACTCGATTTTAAATCTTATATTGATGGTAGAGTAAAAATCAATCGCGGAGAATTAATATATTGTAGTAATCTGACATACTGTTTTTGTGTTGTGTTTATGTTCCGTAGTCCATTGTCTTCGTCCGAGTTTTAACACGGTTACGTATGCATTTTAGAACAGTACTCATAAGTATTTCTTAGAACACAAAATTTCCTAATAGGGAATGCCGATAACATGGGCGTTGTTAGGAGTGAGGGAAAAACGCAATTTGATGCATTTCTAAAAAAAACCACCCCGTTTAATTGTCTGACTGTCGACTGTTCGGCTCTACCTTTTATGCTAGTCCCCAACTACGCCAATGGCCTATAATATTCAAAATCACACTTAATTATATTGATTTATCATTTCACCTACTTTGTACTTTTAAATAAATATTTCATTCAATCGGTTGTTTTTATTTAAGTTTAAAACCAAATTCATACCCTTGTCTTAAATAAGATTTCCACCTGGTGTTCTCTTTTTAACTGACTTAAAAAAAGGAGGAGGTTCTCAATTCGGCTGTTTTTTTACCTCATAACTTATTACTGGGTGGATCGATTTTTATTCTTTCTTTATTTGAAAGCTAGTGTTTGCCTTGTAGTCCCGCTATTTAATTGTAGTAGGGGAGCCCACGATGCTAAATCGGGATTTACTCGAGCGTCATAGAGACCTATTGGGTTGCGAAGCTTAGATGATAACAAAAAAAAGATTTCATATAATATATACCTTTTAATCGGTGGGGGAAGCGGCTATAGATTTTTAAAAATGTAAAAAAAAACTGTTGTATGGACATACTCGAGCGCGTCAGATATTAATATCATCCATGTCCTACGCATTTTTAGAAACTGTCGTATGTTAATCTGATCGTTTCCATGATGGGGGTGGTTATACGTAAGGGTTGAAAATGAAAAAAAAAATTATTTAATCGAGCGCGTCAGATTTTTTGAGGGGATGTCAAGTGAACCTAAAAAAAAGCTCTCATATAATAATCTGACGATTTGGATGTGACGCAAACGCGTGACCATTATTAGAATGTGCAAAAAAAATCGCCATTTTGAAATACTCAAGCGCGTCAGATTAAGATATATATGGTTCATCTTTATGCCCCAGACGTGATATCTCATAATCTGACGATTATCTGAATGGATTTACTTAAACTGACACTAAAAAAATTTTTTTTTTTAATTTTTTCAAATCATTGAGCTTAATTAAATAGAAAAGCACCGGAGCTAGCATGCAAATAAAAAAGTGTATGTTTTTTATGTAAAATACTTATATTTATAAGAAAATGATTATATGAAAATTTAATTTTTACAGTATTTTTTATTAATTATCATCTTCATCGCTAGAATCATCTTCCTCTTCTTCTCTTAAAATAACAAAATAAGCAAAAACGTTGGAAATACGATGTAAACAATATCACGCCACGAACGAGTCTGTGTCATCATGGCAACCTGTCATGGCGTCATGGCAACCGAAACCAGAGTGGGTATAGAATGAGAGAGTAATAGACAGAAAAAGAGAGAGAAATGAAAGAGAAGGAAATATAGGTATCACGTAGCTTAAACGCATTAAATCTTATCGATGAATTTTTATTACTTCGGCTTGTGACAATCGTCAGATTATATATTTTTCGTAATCCTTGAATGATTCCCTTCAAAATAAAAATAAAAATTAGCCACGCTCGAGAATGTCAAAGTGACGTTTTTTTTTTACAACTTTGTAGCCTTCCCCCTTCTTTACGTCACTCTCAAATTGTCAGATTAGAGGTATGTACACCTTTTAGCATGTAACTAGCTCACCTTACCTTAATCTGACGCGCTCGAGATTTTCAGATGATCAATTTTTTTTTACTAATCTGATCCTTCGTCCTTGCCGGGCGGCCATTTTTATAGGGCTCATACTTGGTCCAGGTACTTAACTGGGTACAAGGTATCCCCCTGTATATTAATCTGCCGCGCTTTAGTAAATCCCGAAATCCCCGCTTCGGCTCCCCTACTATTGTGGGTAATTAGGTCCAGATCTGGCAATGGCATCTATGAGAAAACCATTAAATTTGCTTTAAGCGTGCGTGATGTTTGTTACTCCAAAACTCAAAATATCAACAAAATGTTAATATTTAATTAACTACAGAAAACATCAGCCCGAATTTTTTCAATTTGAAGTCGGTTCCATTTTTAAAAAAGAGTTTAACTAATAGTTTGAGGGAATTGTTCAATAGTTACACCCAGAATGTTCTTAAGTAGGGCAAAAAAAAATCAAACGACGATGTGGGGACGAAAATACTGATTTTATCAACTTTTATCTACTTGGGTATAAATTATAATAATCCCTTTTTACTTTGAATTATTAAAACAACTATTATTACCAATAAGTTAATTTAAATTGCTTATTTATAAATTGAGTCGATTATAACACTGTGCCGTTTATCTGTTACAAGGAAAGTTCTTTTATTTTCGGGAATAAATAAAAATCGCAAGGTGATAGCTGATGCTATATATGTTTTTGCAATGTCATGAAAATAATATTGTTTTCATTTGCTCTTTCGAAGACTTATCCCACTATCGATCATCAGTCAATTCTCTCATATATTCTTTAAGTAGGAACACCGTGATCAGTCTTTTTATTACGATTACTTGCGAACTTTTTTGGAATTCATAATATGTGTAGGGTTATAGCTATAATATAATTGCTCACTGCTGGCCAGACGTCAGTCTCTCTCTCTCTCGTTCTAATGAAGACTTGTAAATATGTTATGCTCTCGTAAACTTAGTACTTTTGCTATTTGTCTCTTTTTTTTAGAAGGGACCAGTCCATCCTATGGCTTCGTGTAGACAGCGACGACCGCCACCGCGTCTATTCGTGCCTCTATAGGTCCCATGATGGCGATACCGAAACTGACCGACTCATTGTCGTCCAAAGCACGTCCAAATGGCTGCAGACTCTGTGCAGCTGCAGATCCCACTCGCAGAGATCGTGATACTGGGCGATTTTAACGCTCACCATACCGAATGGCTTGGTTCTAGCAAGACCGATCACGCGGGGAGATCACGCCTTCGCTTTTGCACAGAACTTGACACAACTGGTCACTACGCCTACGCGAATCCCAGATGTCGAGAGTCATAAACCTTCACGGTTGGATCTTTTGTTAACCTCCCATTCCGATGGCTACTTCATATCTGTTAACGCTCCATTTGGCTCCTCGGACCACTGCCTTATTGGGAGTACAGTGCCACTCACGTGCTTGCAACGACCACGTGTTGCAAGTAGTCGCCGTGTGTGGCATTACAAGTCGGCAGACTGGGATGGGTTGCGGTCCTTTTTTGCATCCTAACAACGCCGCCGAGTCTGTTGCTGATATGGTGCTTCAGGGTATGGAAACTTTTATTCCATCCTCGGTTGTCCCTATTGGTGGCAGATTCAGACCTTGGTTTGGTCAAAGGCTTCTCGTCGAAAGCGGGAATCATACCAGGCCTGGACAATTGCGGTATTGTCGCGGGATGAAATACCAGCGCCCTGAAAAAGCAATACAACTTTGCCTCCAGACATTTCAAAAGAGACATTGCAAGAGCGAAAGCGAAGCACATCAGAAGAAATGGCGAGAAGCTTGAACGTCTTCCTTCGGGGACGCGTGCTTTCTGGTCTCTTGCCAAATGTATTCAAGGTAATTTCTGCACGCCTTCATTTCCACCCTTGTACAAACATAACTCCTCATTAGCCTATGATGCAAAAGAGAAAGCCGATCTCCTGGGTAACTTTTTTGCATCCAACTCGACTTTGGATAACCGGAGGCTCCTTCGGTACCTAGAGGATCACCAGTTGCTTAGTGACCAACAATACGGATTTCGTAGTGGTCGCTCTGCTGGCGATCTTCTAGTTTACTTGACACATAACTGGGCTAAGGCAATTGAAACAAAGGGGGAGGCCCTGGCAGTAAGTTTGGACATAGCGAAAGCCTTCGATCGGGTGTGGCACAAAGCTCTTCTATCAAAAACTTCCCTCGTATGGGCTTCACGAGAAATTATGTGCATGGGTCACTAGTTTTTTGGCAGAGAGAAGCATTAAGGTTTTAATCGACGGTGAATGCTCGGACCTACTGTCTATAAATGCTGGTGTTCCCCAAGGATGTGTGCTATCACCTACACTTTTTCTTCTGCATATTAATGACATGCTGCAAATTAGTTGTATTCATTGTTATACGGATGACAGCACGGAGGACTCCACTTATAACGGTCGTGCTAATATTTCTCGGGAAAGCGTCATTGAGAGCCGGAATCAACTTGTGTCTGATATTGAATCTTCGTTAGAGGAAGTCTCTAACTGTGGTCGACTTAATTTGGACCCTACTAAGACACAGGTTTGCGCGTTCACCGCCAAAAAAGCCCCTTTTGTCGTATCACCTCGCTTTCAAAACATTCCCCTAACTGCCTCAGCCAATATTGAGATTCTCGATGTCGACATATCGAGCGAGGTCCAGTTCCGTGGTCACTTAGAGGATAAAGCTAATTAAGCATATAAGAAGCTTGGTGTGCTTAATGGATCGAGGCAGTATTTCACTCCGGCGCATCGCCTGCAGCTTTACAAGGCGCAGGTTCGGCCCCATATGGAATACTGTTCTCATCTTTGGGCAGGTGCAACCCAATACTAGCTTCTCCCTCTAGACCGCATTCAGAGGAGAGCGACTCGAATCGTCGATTGCCGGGACACTTCAAGTTGGCTTGATCCACTGGCCCTGCGTAGAGATGTTGCTACACTGTGCATTTATTTATTTATTTAATCTTTATTGCATGGAATAGCAAATGGTGGACTTAATGCCAAGGGCATTCTCTACCAGTCTACCAGACAGAAAGTAGGAAGCAAGATGTATGGCGATGTATGGATGGAGAGTATGGCGTGCATCTTCTATCGCATCTATTATGGGGAATGCTCCGAGGAATTGTTCGGACTCATACCTGCCGCTACTTTCCGCCATCGTTCAAGAAATCCACGCCCATCATCTGGATGGTTGGAAGTCCTCAACTGTGCGTTTTTCTAGAAGTTTTCTGCCTCGCACAGCCAAACTCTGGAACAGTTTGTCGCCAGCGGTATTTCCGGACCGAAACAACCTTCAAACTTTCAAGCGTAGAGCTTATTCGTCCCTCAAAGGCCGACAGCGCGCTTGTAGCTCCTCTGGTGTTGCAGGTGTCCATGGGCGGCGGTAATCACTCACCATCAGGTGATCAGTCTGCTCGACTGCCCCCTATTCCATAAAAAAACTTCGTATCGGACAAATAAATGAGGAACTACAAACGGGGGTGGCGCTTCAACCTGACGCATATTTAGGGTTTTTTGTGCCCGTGGATTTCCAGTTTCTAATAAATAAATGTACCGCAATATGATCTTCACACGAAAGAGGCTATAAATTAAAAAGAAAACTAACCAAATTGGCTCCAACATAACAACATATGATTCTGTAAGTACAAATAATTATCTCATCTTTGCCAAGTGCTTGTAGCTCTTAAATTGCTAATCAGATTTTCATTACACATAGCTAAAAACAACCCCGAAGAAGAAGACTTTAGATTTAAAGAACCACATTAAAACAGGTCAAGCTCATAATAACGCCCCTCTTTTGTGTGTGGTGTTAAGCAAAAACAAACAATTTAAAAGTCAAACTGTTTTATTTTAAGCACTAGAATTCGTAGTAGCAAGATTTAAAAATATTTGAGGAATGTCTATAATAAAGTGCTAAATAGCCACAGTTTGATAATGTTAAAAAATAGGGCTAGCTACATCTGGTTGATATTATTAACACTAGCAATATTCACTGGTCTGATAATATTAGAGCTTGTGCACTGGTGCTTTGCTTGTGCACTGGTAGATAACATTATTAGGGCTTATGTTAACTGATTGATAATGTAATTAGGATGATTTATGTATTAAACCAAGATGTATAATTCCGGCACGATTTAATTTGATGTCCTGTTGTCTTTTCGAATTCTGAATACAAGCCTTCGTGATTTCGAAACATTAATGTTTCATTTTGTAATTCATGTTACGTTTAGATAATTTTTTGTATGTGCTATTGTCTCTCTTTGCGCGGCATTGCTCCCTGCGTTGCATGCGGCGGAAATACCAACCAGCATTATTTGGACTTGTTTCTCCAAATAATTCATTTTCTAGTTTTTTTCGGGCCTCCTTTCGAAAAAGCGCTCTTTTTTCAAACCAAGAGGCATCTTTTTCTTTGAAATTATGCCTTTTATTTTTGTCCTCTTTTTCCACTTCACTTTGTATATCAATTTCATCACTGTCAGGAGATTGAGATTTTTTAATGTCCAAAAACTGCTCAATATAGTTTTCTCTTTCGAATTCTTTAGCATAATGGTTTTTATCTGTATTACTTAACACATTCTCATTTTCTCGGACAGATGAAATTGAAAAATCATCATAATCTCTCAAGTATCCACCTTTCATTTCCCATTGCTCATATTTATTTTTTCTCTTCTGTTTTTTGTTCGACTTCTGCCTATCACGTTTCTTTCTTGCTTGCTTATGCCGTTCTCCAACATATCTATCGTCCTTTTTAAATTCTTCTTCACTAATAGAGTAAGTTGAAATGTTATCCAAATTGTTGCCATTTTTCTTTATATATTCCACAGCTTTACTTATAGGCGTTTTTGTGCTAACATCCAAATTTAATGGAATATATTTTCTTTTTTCATTTGATTTAAGTGAATCTGCATAGGTTATCTTTCTTTCCGTGGTATAATCCTTTATGGATTGGTCTTTCAGATTTGCCGTAATACTACTGTCTGGAATATGTGAATTAATTTCTGAAGATAGTGTTTCACTAATTGGTTCTAAATAATTACCTTTTGAAGGCATTTGTCCTTGAATATTATTTTTTTTAGGTTGGGTAGATTTTAATTTTATATCATTTTTCGATTTTTTTATGAATTGTTTTTCAATAATTAATCTCTTATCAATTTCGAGATCTAACCAACTTCTATTTTGCTTGTAAATATCTTTAAGCTTGTCTATATTTTGTATAAATTGCTTTTCATATTCAGGCTCTATGAGATGAATGTTGTGAATGTTGGTATTTTCATCCCCATCAACACATTTGATTGGTTTGCCTACATTTTTATTAGTTATTGAATCTTCAAAGACCTTTTTACATTTATTTTGTTTATGTGAAATAGATTCTGTGCCAGGCTTTCTTTGATAAATATTTATATTGTTTGTTTGTGCCAGTTCTTTTAATTTACTTCTTAAGTAGGCATTTTCTTCTTGTAATTTATAAAGGTTAGAAAGAATTTTATTGATTGATGGTACAGTGTTTACTGTACAGTCATTTTTAGCTCCCCACATATGGCCAATAGCCACCCCTGCCGCTGTGATAACACTTCCTAATACAATTATATTAAGTACTGTACTTAATCGTTTATTCCTTCTATGAACATATGTTTTATGTTTACCATTACTATCACTAAGAAAATCAGTATCATTCATCGAATCTTGTAAAATACTGTTTTCAACTAGAGATGGCTTTATGGATACGCATTGAGGTTCTAGATCCTGTTGTCGACAATCATAGTTTATCTCACACGGTAAAGGTGACTCTGGTTCGCTGTCACTTATAATAGATATTCCATCAGTATCTTCATCCTTTTCATTATTTATTCCTTGGAGTTCCCTGAAAATAAAAAAAATCCTTCATGAATATATCTATAGTGATATGCTGTATTACCACTCAGACACTTTTGTGTACAGGAGTGCTTTAAAATACTTTCATTAAAACAAGCTTCTTCATCCTATAAATAATGCAGTAAGCAGTAAGCCATTAGTGGTTTTTTATTTTTATAACTTAATATATTATAGTGTGCTGAGTATGATATGCTCATACCCAACTAGCAAATTAGTCATATAAGGTAAAGTTTATTCAGCTTTTCGGTGTTATAAAAGTCGAGTAAGTGTGAATTATTCAGCACGTATCGTATAAAAGCATCTTATATAGCTTTTGAGTTATTCAGCATTTCGGTCACATAATGATGCTGAGTAAGTCGCTAGTATACGACGCTAATGTTACTATTTCGTCGAGTAAAAGCATATTATATAGCTTTCTTATGGCAAGGTTGACTCAGTCGAGTAAAAGCAACATTGTTGCTTTTATACTACTATTATGTAGTATACGTCGCATTTATACGACTGTTACAAGCCTAAAATGTCGTATAATTGTATCCATTACACCGATCAGATTGTTTTGTGTAAAATGCTGTGAGTAGTTTACAGTTATCGAAAATGGACTGGAATAAATGGAAAAACAAACAAAAAGTCTTTTTTAGAAAACTTTTTAGGAAGTTCTAAGGAACCCTAAACTATAATCAGAGTGGTATCATGGCGCTCATACTGCTAATTTGCTGTATAAGAAGCTATTATACCTCCTGTCAGCAGTAAAAATGGTGTACAAAAATAATATTGATATAAAAATATTTGTTATTATATTCATATTACTAAGAATTAAAGGGGGGCGTTAAATATTTATGATATAACGTAGTATATTTCCTCAGAAAACTTACCTTCGCAATACTTTACAACCCTATGCGTGAGTTTACGAACCTACATTTGGTGCAACCTACAAATTAACATGTCTGCTAAATAAATTGTACTTACCGATGAATTATAATTTTTTATTAAAACACAACACGTTGAAGCACTTGCTTATTTTATTTACTATAAATGTTTTCAGCTGTTTTGTATCCCAGGCCGCTTCAATAACACAAACATGTCATATAAGTTACAGTTATAACGCAACATAAGCTTGTAACAGTCTCTCCGGCGATAATTACGTGACGATTTACCTGAATAAGTTACCTTTATACGATGTCTATGTGACTGAATGCTGAATAAAATGGGCCCAAATCGTGTTGTATAAACGTTTTCATTACGTTTATACGACTTCTATTAGGAGCCAAAATGCTGAATAATTTTCGTTGCCGCGACTACTATACAACATATTTTTGCTAGTTGGGTACATCTCTTGAGCATATCATTCACAAGCACACTATCAAATTTGTTAGATAGATGGCAGAACCTGTCAACTTAGAATTATTAATCTGATTCACGAATTATCCAATTCTATGTTAGACCACTAATAATTTCATCTGAAATTTATGTGTCCTCAAATTGTTTTTTCCTGTATATTAATGTAAGACTACATTCAAATGTTATGATATTGTCAAAATCTGCAACCATGCATTAAATATACTGCATTTTCTAAATCTTAGTTACCTTATATTGAATAAAGCTTTTGGACTAAGAGCTCCATCCGATACAAGCCAACTCAGTAATCATTTTCACTGATAATTTGATAACAAAGAGTTATAGTATATCTTAGAGGCAAATTAAACCTTCAGCTCTCTTCTTTACTGACAAATGACATAGAAATTCCTATCACCAAAAGTATAGGTAAATAAAAAGTAAAAATATGCATGCAAAATAAGTTTGTAATTTTGGAGAGGCTACCTAAAAACAAAACAATTTATTGTCAAAGAACATACTAGCAATTTTTTTAAGTAACCAGAGAATTCAATGACTAAATTAATAAATAAGTTACCAGAAGATACTGTTGCCATTGACAATATCAGTCAGTCATAGAACAGACTATACCTGATCTTCAAAATAAAAATTATGATTTTTTTTATTATTCTTATTATTATTCTTCTACCATCCTAATATTATTCCAATTTTTGATATCACCAGTTGCAAGAGCAATAGATCACTGGTTAAATTCCAACCTGAACCTAGTGACCTAGACCTAGTAACCATAAAATCTATTATAAATAATATTTAAAACCCTAGATCCCAAAATATATTATGGAATAATTGCTTTAGTCTATCTGCATCTCAGACCAAACTTTTTAGTTTGTCTGAGAACCGAATTGATACCATTCTAATGTTTCTATCTCCCATCATAGTCATTTCAAGGAAACTGACCTTCCTTTTCATACTTCTATCAATAACAACTTAACACAGCAATGAAAAATATATACCCCTTGTTTGCCAATAACGCAGTTTCCGGAAATTCAGGGACTTCATCTGCATATTGCAGGGTACTTTCAAGTAAAGTCCAGCTTTCTCCAGAGTCAGAATCACTGTGGTCAACGGTTCCGTCCATTTAGCCAAGAGCAACGTCCAAGAGCTAAAAAAGATGAAACGTTTTTGTTATGTGTAAAATACAGCCAAAATAATACGTTTTAAATATTGTGACACTTACAGATTTATCGACAAGAAGATTTGTTTTTACCGATCTCAGAAAGTCTTAGTACACAAAATTTTTTAAGTTTCCATTATTTGATTTGCCTTTTATAAAGTATGATAATATTTTTGTTGATTTTGTTTCTGGAAAATGCGTCAATATCAAACAAACAAGGTCAATTTTTTACTTTTATATTATTTTGCGCAGTCGTGTTTTGTTTAGGAAAGAAACGATACGAACGAGTAAATGCAAGTAGACTACTCTTTGAAAAACAAGTAATTACAAGTTGTTAGTCGATTCTTTACTTTGAATACTAACAATGCGAATCGAGTCCTGATTGTAATGAGGAAGCATTTAAAAAACAAACGAAAGCCCTAAAAAAGCACCGTCCCTAGATGGCGACCCTAGCATAAGTTGATTTTTACAGGAAATTAATGGACCAAAGATAGTCATTTCCGTTCCTTTCAACTAACATATTAAAAAACTGAAATTTAAAAAGTTCGAAACTTAGAAATCAATACAAATACAAAAAAGTACAAATAGAATATATGAGTTGTTTATTGAGTTTTGAAAATAAATTACTTTTAAACTTGAAAGTACCGTAACGACATCTAGTTTCATTTCAGGAACTAATGATTTTTTTTTAAAACATGCAGCGGCTGCCCGTCGGAGTGGTTGACACACGTGTTTGTTTTTTATTTCAATCTAATTTTGTTAAGAGCCATATGACAAATTTTCACCCTGTGAGATTAGGTATTTTGAAGCGTTCCGAGTTCTCGACAACTTGTTCAAGGTCATGAGTCCACAATACTGTGTTGAAACTACGACCAAGCTATTTTGATACTTTTCCCAATTTTTGTATATTTTTTTAGTATTTCTATGGTGAGATTCATTATCGATTCCCGAATATTTTAACATGAATGCTCTCGAAAAGGAGTCTATTGTTTTTAGAAATAATGTATGTATGTGAGTTTTTATATTGCACCATAACTTTTGAAATATATAACGTATATAAATGTATAGGGTATCATTAGAAACATCATCACCTATTTTATTAATATTAAATAGGTATGGGGACGTGTGACGCCATTTAAAAAAGTATGTTTTTTTTTAATCATAACTTTATGGGTATCAAATTAATGGTCCATTAAAATATATATATCTCTATACATAATTAGCTGCTCACTAAAAGGAATAAAATATAAATAAATAATTTAAAAATTAAAAACACGGCTGCTAAGATCGGACAAAAATTAAAAGAAACAAATTTTGCCAAATCATAGGCTATATAATATAAATAGCGATGATAATATATACTCGGTGGAACAGAACAAACGACACTCCCGAGGTTCCTGGAGAGTGCTATTTGTCTTTAATATGATGTAAAAAAAATTATATGTCTAGGGCAAATAGTTTCGGAGATATTAAATCACAAAGTTTTTGAAAAAGAATGAGTGTTCTCAACCCTGAGTCAGCTGTTTTGGGACGTACTAAGGAAAAGTTTTTAATCGGTCATTGACTTCTTCATTTCTAAAAACGAAATAAACTAGTTTGTGATTTATAAGACTGCTTTCATGCAAATTCTACCAGAAAATCAATAAACAAGTCAGTCAAAATGCTTAAATCGATTTACAGCCTAACAGCCGGTTTCTGATTTGAAAAAAGTAGAAAATTTCTATTGCTTATTCTCAATAACCTAAGTTTTTTTAATTTCACAAGTCAAATAGTCCTAGTTTTATCAAACTGCTATCAACTGATCATCAAAAAACTAAAATCGGAAACGAAAACTAAGTGATGTTAGTTTGAGACGTTTAACTTTAAATTCTCAATTAAGAAACAGTGTAAAATTTCTTAAATTATTGTAGAGAGATCAGTCTAACATTAACCTACGCTATTTTAAAAGAGCAGTTCTCCAAAAAAATTGTTTGAATGGGGTAATACTCCTTTAACAACGGGATTGTTAATTAAACTCGATAAACTCACAAATCCTCCATTGATTCATCATTAACACAAATGAACTTTGTTTTAAAAACATTGAGGAATTTTTTATTAAAATAGCATTTAAAAAGAACATTAAAAAATGCGTGATATCAAACGACACATAAAATAAATGTGAACCGAGTTCGTCCCTTGATATCAAAGCCCCACCCACCAGCCAGCCGCCATGCGGCTTTATTGTTCTGTCGGTATTTTCCGGCCGCTCAGTCGCCGCCGACCTTTTGCGCTGAAGTGTTGTTGCGTGTGGCGACTGATACATAGCGACATCTAATTCATCGCAGTAACATCGCCACAACAATCGATAGCGAGAAGACAAGCATCGTCACAGCCATCGATAGCAAGACGAACTGCAATAAGTTTCAACAGCAAGTAACGAGATGGCGCTGTACCAATACAAGCAACATAAATTAATAACTACAAGACATTTAGAACAAAGAAACCTACATCGCACAGAATAAGTTTCATTACCAATTAACATAAATAGAACGTCCAACCTACATCGGTTGGACCGCAGTCCCCGGGCTAACTACACCCAGCTCGGAGGGAGACAATTATCCTTTAGTCTCCCTTGCCAGTTGTCTCCATCACCACAGTAGGGACCACACATACAACCTTACGGTTCCTAAATGCGCATCGCCGCCGACGCACCGCTGCGAAGAGTCTTTTTTGTCGATTTTTGTTTTGTTGTAATGCATTTTTAATTGAATTCTTGTTAATAAGATACTAGAGTGTTCGTCTTGAGTGTTATGTTTAGTTTAGTGAAGATTGTGTTTAGTTTTGTGTGAAATGTGATGTGTTTTGCGCGTGCATGCGCGGCATTGAAAAGAGCGTGCTTAGCTCAGTCTTCAGAGAGGAAGTGGACATTTTTAACATCGACTATCATTAAGATATCGGTAAATAATTAAATTAAATTAATGTATTTCACGGTTCGTTGTAATCTGCACACAATCGATATTGCGCATGCGCAATATAGGGCTGTCAACACTTAGAAATTTAAAATTTTTACTCCATTTTTACACCTCCTCTATTTTTAAATATTTGTCAAATAAAATTAACGTTTGCATGTAACCTAACTTGAAACTTTCGGCTGTGTCGGTCATTTTGTTCCTCCCACAGAAATAAATCTAGTTAGAAGGAAAATGTTCGTCGATTTATATGGAGACCGAGCTTGCCACATTTTGTGTAGGTATCATGATGTCACGATCTTAATTTAGTGATGGAAGACATAATTTCACTTGCATCGAATACATGTTGTATTTGAAACGGCATACCGATTCTTATCGATTGAAAAAACGATATCGATCGACGGAGACCAACGTGTACAGTCTGTCTATAAAGTCATGAAAAGAATGTTTGAGGAACTAACATTAGACACAAGTATGATAACACTGACTCAACACTCAAAGTACATCGTCTGTCAACAACTTGATTTTTTAGCTCGATTTTCTGCATTTTTGATTTGTTTTGAATAAACTGAAGCTACTTCTTCTTAACTCCGTCGAAAAGTGTTAAAAATGAAGAGAATTAATCAGAGTAAAGCTTAGGATATTATTTATAAAGTTTTTCAGTGATGTTTATTGGAACAAGAAGCTGGACACATTTTATCATATTTGTAGGATGTTAAAGCTCGAACGGCAGTTATGGCTGGTATGTAATCGTGTTACTGATTGAGTTTTGGTTACCAGAAGTTTCAAATTTACTAAATATATGAATTTAAGTCTAAAAGAAGTATTGATTACATTATGCATTTATAGGTTAGATTGAAAATGTTAGAAGGCTATATTGTAGTGCGGCCCGAACTTTCAATACTTTTGGATAATCAAAGGGTTTAGCCGGATACGTATGACGAGTCGGCCCCCAAATGGGAATCGATATTGAAACTTATGTTTTAATATAGACTTGATGTTCAAACACGATTTATGTACTTTTCGCGACCGACTTCCGCTTTGACCTTGAGATAGAGAGCAAAATATCCGTATGCTTGACTATTACTGAATGTGATATATCTCTGAAGCTAATTAAGATAAAGAAGTGAAACTAACGCGAGGTGTTAGGTTACATTACAGAGTATATCACATATATTTTTTTATAATTTTTAGAATAAAAAATTACATTAAAAAAATAAAAAATAAAAAAATCATGTTTTTTTTTCTGAGTTCTCTGTGACTTACAATCACGAAATTAATATATGTTATGCTCCTTTGTGTGCTCTATTACCCATAAAAATTGCGTGAAAAAAAAGTTGGTGCAACACAACGAAAAAAAATTATATGTGATTTCTGTCTTATGGTATACCCCTGTATTATAAGGTTTTCACATTACATCATTGTTTTTTTTTTCGAAATTTCACATCAGCTTTAATAAGTTAATATCGATTCCCATTTGGGGGCCGACTCGTCATACGTATCCGGCTAAACCCTTTATCATTGATTTTAATCTGAATAAAAAATATACCTGTTAGGAATGTACGATTTTTACCTACGTACGCCAATAAAAAGTTTGTGCTTTATATTACTAAAATTATAGCATTAATTTGATCATTGTGGCGATTCCATTCCTTTTGCCAAATACCTATAGGTATTACATTTTTAAAACTTACTTTCAGGAAAATCAGAGAATATAGTGATACGTATTGTAGATGAAGGTTATAAAAATGGTGGCATATTTGAAACCCCTGGGAAACATAGATAGTCGTCCTAAGAAATAAATGGTTAACTGCAACATTTGTGCACTTCGACAAAAGATTCAGTTCTTTTACTCTGTGAAAAAAAGAGATACCTACATGAAGAAAACATCAGTGGATTGCCAAAACCGATCTGGATTTTAATTGTAGCCTAGAAGTTCTGCGTTAAATTCTGAAATATATTGGGTTTTCTTACAAGGAGTGTCAAAGTAACAGGCTTTAATCGAACACAAGCACACATTGCAGTAAAACGAGAAAACAACTTGGCAATTATAAAAAAAAAAGATTTATCAAAAATTACGATTACTATATTGTAATCTTCAATGTAGAATAAACTCATTGTCTACGAATTATACGCCTTTCTTTACCTTTTCTGGGGTAATAAAAGTAAAAAAAAAATCCTACTATCAAAATCATTTGTCTCACTACACAGGGTTGCTACGTGCACGATCGCAGCGCCCTCAATTTTTTTCATGACTTTATAGACAGACTACCATTTTGCTTAAATATTATGTATATGTCACGAACTCACGAATGTAATTTAGTGAATCGGCGCAAAAAAGATTTTATGCGATAGAATAGAAATCGGCATTTTTCTGTGGGCAAACACTTTGTAGTAGCCGCTACCCCCTCCCGACACGCTACACATTTTTACGTCCTGTGTTGTTATGTTATGTTTCACGGCGGGCTTTTCTGCAACTCAATACTCAGTGCCTATTTTGCATGACACGGGGTTGCTTTAGTCCTGCCACCCCAGCTCCTCCAGGAAGCCCGTAAGATCTCGAACTCTGCCGCATGCTTCCACTAGTATCCTTGGGCTTCATAGATATGTAGTCCTTTTGTCTTAATAGGCTCCTGCATTCCAGTATCACATGAGTGCACAAGCGCTTATGTGATACTGGAATGGAGACTGAGGAGACAATCTCCTCAGTCTCCATGCACGCCCTGCTCAGAAGACTGTCAGAATAACCCATGTTATATAGGTGTTTGTTAAAGTTTCCATGTCCAGTAAGTATACCTACTATTTGCCTTAGAGTCCTGTTGCTTCAATCCATGTATTTTTAATATTAGGATCATACGGAAAACTAAAACAAAAATTACAGTATAATTCAATATAAAATTAATTATCCTTTATTCTGGTTTCAAAAACGATATTTTTTTAATCGGGTAAAAAAATCGCATTGTACAGCACTATTCTCCATTTTTGACAGAAAAAATGATAATTTGTCCTCCAACAAATTAACCTTGAATTATACATCGATGGTTTTACAAGCACAGCAAATTTGGACTGTCAAATTAAAACCGCAATGGAAAGCTATTACTGAACACATGACCGTTTTGATAAAAATAATACGGAGCAACAAAACTAATGATTTTTAATTCAAAATAGATATATCAAGGCAAATAGTTACTTACCGATGGAAGGAAATACCTCGACTATAAGATCCAACCATATTGGTGGTGTTTGAGCAGGTAATTATCGAACAACGCATCATTTTAAATTTCGTCCAACACCGATTGCGATCGAAAGTGGACTAGCGATGAGGCGTATTTATCGTAACAAGTAAAAAGAACAAGTATTTCCCTACGGAACATAACAACTGTTATTCGTAACAAAAATATCTGTTATAGAAAATACTACACGCATAAAATATCGTAACAGCACAATCCGCTGTTATCTCCTGTTATTGGTCTGCGGCTGTTATCCCTGTGTTCCTGTTATCCTAGCTAGAACAGTTCCCCTCTCATTCTTACCTATGAAGTCAAAAAGAGAGTCACCTAGTACTTTCTTCTAAATATCAGGAAATTAAAGTTGACCCCAAATCATAGTTTTGCTTCGTCGTATCAACTAATGTTAATCGTCTATTTCTCTCTCTTATTCTCTCATACAGGTCATAAGGCAATAAAAAGAGATGGTGACTAGTATTTTATAATACAAGACATTTGTATTGACACTTCTTTATTCCATGATACATAAAGCAGATAGACTCCTAAAATTTGTTGTATAATTTAGGCGTAGGAATACGCTTGGATATATTACACATAAACTTTTGTTATTGTAACAAACACACGGGAAAAAATTGAATAGTCATTAAATTATTTTATGAATGATGAATTGTTTTCATTCAAATACGATCATGTTAAATACATTTATACAAAAATAAAACCTAGCCTACATTATTTTATACAAAAATAAAATAATGCCTGGTTTAAAAATGCAAGTATATTTAATTTTATTGTACAAGTATCCGAACACGGGGTCGGCTGTCATCTATCAATGTATTACTTGGGATTTTAGACTTTATTCTGATAGCAGCAAAGGCTTTTTAAACAAATGACAAGAAAGTTTACTTCTTTGACCTGATTGGTATTTATGTTGAAGCGTTATTGTCAAGCTTATGTTGGTACAAATAAAGAGCATAGTTGCTTGATAATGATTAGTCGTATTTTTGACATTTGACCGGTCGTTTTTTTACTGATTTAAAGAAAATAACAGGCTGTTATTTTATAACAGGTATTTGAAACTGTTAAATTTAGATAACAAGAACAGCTGTAACAGGTATTTGATTTGACCTGTTACGACTCATCATTAAAGTGGACTGAGCCTCGCGACGAGCAATGAAGCTGTCTAGACGTCGTTTCGGCACGCGAAGTACGTACACTTTTTCCTTCTAACTAGATATATTTCTGTGAAGGCGACAGTTGCCGGCTTGCCTGCGCGCGTGAGATGATGCAACCTGCGCGCCATCGTCATACCAGTAGTTGCGCGCCACGATAGTTTGAGGCTGGACGTTTGTATCGCGCTGTTCGCGCGTCGCCGGTCGATTCGCGGACTCATATAGTTTATTATATATATTGTAATTGTAAAATTCTACGACGATAGTAATCGTTAATTAAACGCACAGTTAACGTGGAAGAGTACTTGTTTTAATTGAACTGGTACCAATCGTGCTATAATCTTCATATTTATTTTCTGTTTCTGGGACACCAAAGAAAATTATATTTTTCTTTCTTCTTGGCTTATTTATAAAAATCCATAGTTATTTGCTGTTTCTCGATTTTTTGCTCAAGTTGATTAGTTTTTATTTCAAAACGGTTAAATTTTTCATCTATGTTTTTATTTATAGCTTCTTTTATATTTTATTACACTGGTTTTCACTGTTTTCAGGGTGATTTGAACTTTTCTTTATAAAAATTTGTCACTTGTGACTAGTATAAACGATTATTTATATTTTAATAAGTAAAATTGTACAGAGCCAATGATAACTATGGCACATTAGCGCCGCCTCCCTCTTTCATTACCAATTTTTAAATAAAAATTTATATTCCGGGATTTTATATTAAACCATAGATGTATTAACCCTTTTTTCTTGGATCACAGACGGCTTTTTCCTTCAAAGGAGCGTTTGTAACTATGTTTAGCATAACTTGGAATAAAATTTTATTGTTATGATGTTTAACAGGATAAAAGGTAGAAATAGACTTTCAGTAAATTTTACATATTATGGTAGCCTGACGTGCAGCTGTGTGTATACCTATAAGGGTATTTTCCATACATCTTTATTGTGATACAGTTTTCATTGTGATATCTTTTATTTCTTATCCCTTAAAAACAAAAGAATCATGATAAAATCCAACATATATGCCCTCTTATCCAATTGAAATTTTATCTTTTATTCTATCTATAATCTATAGGGAAGTCTGTGACCCTGCAATGGGGACACCAAAAATAGCGATGAAAACAAAATACATCTTTACATAAATTTAATTTATCTCAAATTGTTTATCACATGTAAAAGCTACAGTTAAAGCATATCTTACACCTGAAGTAACTTTTTCAACATAATGAAAGTTTTCTCTACCGCTAGTAAACATACTAACTCTACCTTTTTTTGGCTCTATAGTTCTATTAAACTTTTCATCTATAAACACAAATCTACCACCTTTGAAGTCCACTCCATAGTCACCAAGGTATAATAACGATGTGTAATGGAAAGACCTGTAAGTTTCCTGTAAAAAAAATAATGAATAACAGACATATAAATTAAAAACCCCTTTTTAAATTAATCTCCTTAAAATACAAATAAATCTTAATTTAGATAAATCTACGAAGGTGGATTGAAAAGTTCGCGGCCTAACACATAAATACTTAAACAATTTTAATGTAACTGACCTCATTCAATAAGTTTACTCTTTGGTTGTCAAAATGTAAAAATCTATCGCAATAGCATTAACTGTATTTAAATTAGACTGAATTTTGTGAACCTTTGAGCAGCATTTTTAAAGAATGGAGAAAATTGAGCAACATCAAATCCTGTTTAAAAAAAAACGAACTCCAAAAGAGATTCACGAAGATATATCAACAACATTGAGGGAATCTGCTCCGTCGTATACGACTGTGAAAAAGTGGGTTGCTGAATTTGAACGCGGACAAAAGAGTATTGAAGATGACCTTCGTGATTCTTGATGGTAAAACGGGAATAGAGAAAGACCAGGGAGCTTTTAGGTCACATGAGTTTATTTACCACCAAAAATATATGTATATACTTTATAAAATACAATCAGCACCGACAACAGCTTTATGAAGAATTACTTTCAATATAATAACAATTGACGCCCATGTGCAGAATAGATTGTCAAAATGTCAGTATTTAAATTTAAATTAATTAAGAAGACCTTAAACCAAGAAGGTCAGAAGCAAACTAGTCTCTCTCAACACATCCCTCAATCTGTGGCACATGCTGACTATCCTAACTTACACTTCTACCTGCCATTACAATACAAAAATTTATTTAGAATTATATCTATCTCTAAGATCCATTTTACCTAACCTATATTAACTCCTGTATACTCCTTTACATTACACATATATAAATCCCTAACTGTCTATAAACCTAACAAATTAAAACAAACTTTCTTATCTTCTTCTCGACTTTGTTTACCACAAAACTTCGGCTATATAAAAATCATTCAGCTAACTCATCTCCTACTCGACTTACTTTATCATAAAAAACTTCAAACAATTATCTCCTACTCGATCCAACTTATAATAAAAACCTCAAACAATTAACTCCTACACTAACCAACTTAATTATTCCTAACTTCTTTCAATACAAAAAATTAAACACACTACCTACCCCACTACCTCATTGCGACAATACAGAATTTCTGCTAACATAATTTAAACTCATATTCTATACCAACTCTAAAATACATTAGTTTAAAAAAATAATAATAAAAACAAACATGATAAATAATACAAACAAACTTGATAATAAAACTTAAGGCCAACATTCTCCAAATATTTGTAAAAATTTTAAGAACTAGTTTCAAACACTTCCATCCCCATTATATAATGATTCATTTAGTTTTTTAAAAATTATTTTAAAACTTCATTTTTTCTCACCCCCTTAAATGAATAATTATAGAGAAACATTATTAACCAAGAAAAACTCCCTTTAATATAAGCACCCCCTTAATACGATACTTTAACTGACACTATGAATTGAATAGGAACCTTAAGTTTACATCACGCCTTTATATCACTTCTACAAATATTACACACCCCTATAAAACTTATATACTAATACCCCACATATTAACCGAAAACGTATTTAGTTCAATTTTGCCCACACTCAACACTACCTAACATCACTCTGATACGAGTTTTCTTTGACACCTCTCAAACTTCACTGGTGGCAAACACTTTGTAAGTATATCTGCTATCCGTGAACCCGTTGGACAATATTTTACCGTTACTCTGTTGATATCAATCTGATCTTTTAGATAGTAGTATCTTACATCTATGTGTTTACTTCATTTATTCATAATTCCTTTCTTCATAAGCCACATAGCTGACTGGTTGTCCACTTCCATTACTATTTCTTATTTTTCATTGGTCATTTCAAATATCAAATCTCTTATGAACAAAAGTTCTTTGCAACATTTTGTTGCGGCTATAAATTCTGCTTCCGTACTCGATAAGGCTACAATCGGCTGTTTCTTTGAACTCCATGTGCAAATCTGAATCACAGTAACCACGAAGCACTTTATCACCTTCAGCATAGTGAATGCCTTTCTTTATCGAACCTTTTAAAAATTTTAAAATAGTTTTTCATTTTTTTTATGGGATAAGGGGCATGCGAGCAAACGGATCACCTGATGGTAGGTGATTATCGTCACTCAAGGACACCTGCAACACCAGAGGGGCTACAAGAGCGCTGCCGGCCTTTGAGGGACGAATATGATCATAGGGAGGGAAGGGTTGAGGGGTAGAGGGAAGGGAATAGGGAGGGGTTGGGCGTCCGGTACCCTTACTCACACGACGAAACACAACGCAAGCGTTGCTTCACATCGGTTTTCTGTGAGGCCGTGGTATCACTCCGGTCGAGCAGGCCCATTCATGCCTTTCATTTCAATCATTTAAATTTGGAGCACTTTATTGGCGTGAGCAATAGCCTACATGGAAGCTAATGTCTGGCCTCGTTTTGTTGGCCAAGTATAACAATGATCCTATCATTTCCCTGTAGAGTTCATGACTCTCTCTATCTACTCTCACCTTAGGGTGTTGTTCTATCAAGATTGTTGGGGTTTTGCACTCTCTAGCTTCATTTAAATTAAATCTCTTCAAAAGTTTTTCGATATCCATTTCTTGACAAATTTTCACTCCTTTCTGTTCATGTTTTATTTCCAGCCCGATATAGTTTGATACTTCTTCGCAGATTCTTAGATCAAATCCTTTTCTCAACGTTTCCACTATATGCATCAGATCTTCTTATTTCTCCCCAATTACTAATCCGTCATCAACATAAATCGCAAGAATTATTCTTCTTTTACCTTCCATCAAAAAAATACACTGATCTAACTTTAATTGTTTAAACCCCATTTTAAGTAAGAATTATGTAAATTTAATGTTCCACATTAATGGAGCTTGTTTTAACCCATATAAACTCTTATTCAGTTTGCATACTGTATCTTCTTTATTACTATAAACCTTTTGGAACTTTTAAATAAAAGCATTCCTTCAAATCTCCATTTAAAAATGCTGTTTTAATATCAATTTTTTCCATTTATCTTTTTCTTTTGATTCTAGAGCCTCCTCATACGTTAACATAGACGTTTTCGTACATAGACGTTTTTATACCATATTCCATTATATAATCTTTGTATCTTTCTGGTAATCTTCTATCTCTTTCAGGTTGTCTTCTTCTACTATTATTTTCCTCCGCTCGAATTCCCTCAATTTCTTCACAACTTTTCCTATTTTCTGCTTCAGTCTCTATGTTCTTTCGACTTTGATTTTTTTCAATATTTACTTCCTCTCGACTCCAATTTTCTTCCATTTGTTCATTATCAAAAACTTCAATTCCTTTATGTTGTTTAGCGTTATCAAAATTAAATCCACTTTCAAAACTATTACCATTATTCACATTACTTTAATTTTCTACTTCTTCATTTTTTCTATTTACTTCATCCATTCGACCATCATTTCTTTCACCGTTAATTGATCTGTCTTCATTTGTTCGATTGTCATTTGTTTCACCATGTTTTCTTCTATCTTCATTTGGTTGATTATCCTTTGTTTCTCTAGATATTCTACCTCTCTTATTTTGAACTCCTCGACTTCTGTTGAATTTTGACTTATTGTTCTTCTTCATTTATTCTTACATCCCTTGCTCTTATTATTCGTTTCTTGATATCCACCCAAATTTTATAGCCGTTTCTAACATAGTCGATGAGTATTTTTTTGCTGCATCTTTCATCAAGTTTTCTTAATCCAAAATTTGTTTTAAAATAAGCTGTAAATCCAAATCTTCTGATGTTCGATAAATCGGGTTTTATATTGAAGCACATTTCTGCAGGTGTCTTTCTCGCCCCTCCGTTGGACTTCTGTTGATGAAATAACTAGCTGTTAGCAATGCTTTACCCCACAAATAGTTCGGAACCCTGCCGTCAAAAATTAAAGCCTTTGTCCGCTCCATCAGCGTTCTATTTAATCTTTCCGCTTTTCCATTTAATTGAGGCGTGTAAGGTATTGTTACATCCAGCACTATCCCTTTTGACTTGCACCACACATGTAGGCTATTGCTCGAGTATTCACCCCCATTATCGCATCTAATTTTCTTAACTTTTTTATTAAAATGATTTTCAGCCAAACACACAAATTCTTTAATTTTAACAAGGCACTCACTTTTGAAGGTAATCAAGTAAACGACACAGAAATGCGTAAACTCATCTAAAAACGTAATAAAATATTTCTTGTTGTCCCAAGTTGGAATTTCAATAGGACCGCAAATGTCTGTATTAATAATTTCTAAGGGAAATTTAGCTTTAATTCTGTTGTTTCCAAATGGTTTTCGAGTCATTTTGGCTTTTGTACAGATTTCGCAAAATTTGTTCGAATGTCCCCCCTTAATTTCGATGCCATTTAGCATTTTAGCTAGACGAGGTACGTCGGATACATGACCTCAGTAATTAGAGCTTCACTAGTATAATTAGCCAAAAATTCTGTTTCATAAAGTCCGGTTTTAGTTTTGTTTCTTATCAAAACTGTTCTACTGAAAATTTTTATAAATACCCCATTTCCAGAGAAATGTACCGTGCCTCCATTATCGGTTATAGCACTTACTGAAATTAGATTTCTTGAGATTCCCGGCACAAATAATACATCTTTAAGCCGTCCGAAATCAGTCTCAATCATCTTAGTCCCTTGCGCTATCAAATTCTCCGCATTGGCACAGCTAATTTTTACTTCTATTTTCTCTGTAATTTGTATTATATTTTTATTACTGACAAAATGTGATGTGGCACTAGAATCAATAACTGCTTTGACTCGAGTTTGAAATTTATTACTTACCTGGTTACTTTTATCATTACTACGGCAGAATTTTTCAATATGACCCTTCTTATTGCATTTTCTACAAAATTTTGTAGAAAAACAGATTCTAGTCGTGTGACCTACCTAATGGCAAATATTATAACCTTCTTTACATGCCCTTGCAATGTGTCCT